TATATAATGAGGTGGTATACAACGTTATAATATACACATGTAAATACAGTCTAACAGATGGTAATAATTGCCCGGGAATGACAGAGCATGCTAAGAATGTATGGAGGGAAATTGAGTTCCAGATTAAAGCAGAGAAGAAATCGGCTTTGAAGAGGCCTTCCAGTTCCCAGGTCGTCTGCAAAGGCCATTCAGAAAGTATAAAAATGCCGAGACTTCAGTCTGCCAGTACTAAAGCCTCAAAGGAGATCACAGTTGAAGATCCAAGGCCCATGGAAACGGTATTCACCTTCTTTTCTCCTATGGACGCATTGTGTTTAGGCCGGTAACGCTATTTCCTCTGCCGTTAAAGTGTTGCGGCCGCTGCTGCTGTAAGAGCCCCTGCTCTCTTAGGCGTGGCACGGGCAACTATTTTTGGTTTCGCTGGATACAGAGTCCACCATGGTTTATATTGCCTATCCATCAATTGACTGAGCTAGCTTGCTTTTTTTTTAGATAAAAGGCCTTGGCCCGGCTTTATAAATAAAGCCACACGGCAGCGTCACAGACCCGAACACCCAAACAGATAACAAAAACCGCGAATCCATCGACCAAAGCCTAGAGCAGGCGAAAGAAGATCCAGAGCGATACATGGCACCCTGCCATACACGGCGCGCAGGCCGGAGGGGAAAGACGACTACGACCAAACCGATAAAACCACCGCAACAGAGATCAGGCGTTAGGTCCCAGCCCGGAGAAGAAGGATGCCGAAGCCCGAATTTTGGCGATGAGCACGTCCAGGGCATCCCGATCGTCTTCTTTAGTCAATAATCTCCACTGCTGCAATAAGATACAGGATTTGAAAAGAACGTCAACAGGTTTAGATGGAAAGATATGCTCGATAGTAAATTTATTCCTAGTAGTCCAAAGGGACTAACATAAGGCACCCAAGCCAACCCAGAACACCCTCTTGGTGACCCCAACCAAAACCTTGGCTAGGGTTCTAAGCTCAGAGAAGGACGAGGGATTCCAAGAGACCTGAAGCCAAGATCTGACGCAACTCCAAACGAACTTAGCCAAGACACAATGGAAAAAGATGTGGTCCGTGTTTTCCAAAGCACCACAAAGGCGACAGAACTCTGATCCTGGACCATTGCGCTTGCGAATCTGGCAGGAAGGCGGCCTCTGAAGGCTTGCCAAAGAAATATCTTAATCTTAGGAGGCACTTTAGACTTCCAGATGTTAGTAAATCTATTCGAGGGGGTACCTCCGATAAGCCTAGAGTAAAGAGACTTGACCGAAAACCTGCCAGAAGACGAATGAGGCCAAATTACAGAATCTGGAGCCTCCGAGAGCACGGGGAAGAGGGCAGAAAGATTTTGCCAATCCTCCAACTCTTCAGGAGACAGGGAACAGCGAAAAGCCAGGTCCCAGTTATTATCCGCCACCTCCGCGATGGAGATGTCCGGCTTAGGACAGTAGGAAAACAAAACTGGGAATTGAGTAGCCAGAGGAGCATCTCCACACCACCAATCCCACCAAAAACGAACAGAACTACCATTGCCCACGATAAACTTAACATGCTCCAAAAAAATTGGTCTAACTTTGACAAGGTTCTTCCAGAATTGAGACCCACGTCTAGCAAAAGCAAACAGGGGGCTAGATTAAGGGAAATACTTGGCCTTGAGGATAGAATACCAAAGAGAGTCGGCCCCAGTAGTCATAATTTTCCACCATCATTTAATTAATAAGCATTTGTTCATCACCAACGTATTAATAATGCCTAAACCCCCAAGGTTCTTAGGACGACACATAAGTTGCCACTTGACTAATCTATATTTCCGCTTATTATCCGCCGCATTCCAATAGAAGGCACCCCTGTGTTTGTCAAAGCCGGCGTGAATACCAGCCGAAAGGAGATAGAAACCCATAAGGAACATCGGTAGGGCTGAGAGACAGGAGTTGATTAAGGCCACCTTGCCAGCATTAGTATTGTATCTACCGCGCCATGGAGGAACCCTGTTACCCACTTTAGCTACAGCCGGGGCAAAATCCTTAGCAAGAAGTTTAAAAGGAGAAATTGGGAGGCCCAGATATTTGAATGGAAAGGAACCTAAAGAGCAGTTAAGAAGCCTGGCCACACGCAGGGCTTCCGCATCATTCACACCAGTAACTAGAACCTCACTCTTGGAGAAGTTAATCTTCAATCCAAAGACCGCTTCGAAGCAAAGAAGGATGAATTTCAAATTGGAAATACACGCATCATCCAATTCAACCATAATGATCGTATCGTCGGCATACTGAAGGTGAGAGACCCCTTCCGGAAGGAGATGAGAGACCACCGGACTAATGTGACCACATTGAGTCGCCCTCACGAGAATACAGGAAAAGGCATCGGCCACAAAATTGAAAAGGACAGGGGAAGCCGGATCCCCTTGACGAAGTCCCCTGCCATTGGCAAAAAAATTACTAATATGCCCATTCACCGAAACGGCAGTGTGGCCCCCAGTGACAAACTGCATGATACGATGCACGTAAGCTCCATCAAAACCTTTCGCGAGCAAGACCTGCTTAAGAAAAGACCAGCTGACCGAGTCGTATGCTTTTTCAAAGTCTAACTTAAGAATAACCGCTTTAGAGCTAGCTTGCTTGCCTTCAATTTTCATGCATTCTATTGTGATTCAGTTAGTTAGCTGTTCCCAGATTTTTTATTGTTTTTTATGTGATTTTTTGGTTGCATCCTACCCTGCGAATGAAATAATGTTAGAAATTTGTAGTTCTCTGAACCAATTTTTTTTACTTTTTTTCTCATTTCTGTTAACAAGGCCTGACAGTCAGTTTTTTATTTTCAACTGCTAGTAGGAGAGGTTTACCAGCAAAACATCATATCTGAGTAATCTAAATTCATCAGTCAAGGAACACAACTGCGTCAAAAGTTTGCATTCACCAAAAATAAGTAAGGGCATCTCTAGCAGATCTCTCATCGAATATACAATACCTCCCTTTTATCCCTTTTCCTTATAATTTTTAAGGGATTATCTCACCTAGCATATCCCTAAAAGGCTAAAACTGAAATTGAACGCAATTTTTTTGCACACAAACTCATCTCAAGCACAAAATAAAACAGCGTACACGTTTTACCTAGTACATTACTACTACATCGACATAGAACTAGCTTAAACATCACTACCTATAGATAAAATCCATTACTCGTCGGATGAGATGTTGATCGCCCTGCGCCGCGCCGGAGGGACTGGTCTCTTCGCATGCCGCATCCATGACATCAAGGCGAACCTGCCGATGATTTCGCCTTCGATGTCCTCGCACAACTCCGCAAACTCAATCGACGCCACAACAAATGCACTGACGACGCTTGCGCTCGATTACGTGTGGTTCTCCGTGACGATCTCCGAGTTTGCCATGATATCGGTGTCCGCGCGCTTGGCCTCGAGCTGCACCTCGGCTAACAGGTGCTCCTCCAAGTCCGAGCACGGCGCCACTGCTCCTCCTCTGCCACCTTGGTACACGCGCTCCTTGGCCCACGCGAGCGTGAGCATCTTGTTGGTAGTGATTCTCTCGTGAACCATGGCATCGTGAAGCTCCAGGAAGACAACAGGGGGGTGGCACGAAGCTTGGGGAGGAGCGGGAGCTCAGAAAGCCACACGAGAGCTCAAGGAGGCGGTAACAACGACCCGAATCAAGGTGAGTGTAGAGCCGAATCGGCGGGGGCGGTGGACATGGGTTGGGGAGATGTGGGCGAGTTTTGGGGTGCGACACCAATGGACTTTCTATCCCTTAAACTTTGCCCCACTTGCCTATTTTTACTCCAATACAGGCAAGCCACCGCCCAGTTGTGCCATTACTGCGCGAGGCGAGCAGCTGCTCAGTTTCCTAAGACTTGCCTTTGTTGGAGTAAAAGTAGGGAAGTGGGGCAAAGTTTAAGGGATAGAAAGTCGAATTCGAGGAAAATGCAGTATAGGGATCTGCTAGATGGAGTCTAATCCCTCAAAATGGAAATTTTGCCCTGAAATATAACTTTTGAGGGATGTACCAGCAAAGATGCCCTAAAATGATCATATTTTTTCCAGAAAGTTTTCATGATCCACCAACTGGTCAGAAATTTTAAGAAATTGTACTCACACTTTGCACAAAACAAGAAGATCCAGGTTTCGACTTTTTCAGTCCTCACACGCTTCATACTGCAGCTTACACACACATAGATCTGGTTCACTTGCCCTAATGCTAGTAGGAAGTAGGAACTAGGAGAAATAACATAACAATAGAAGATACACAAGACTCGCAAGCCCCTAACAAGTAGCTTAACGTCAAGTAACACCAGTAGCTAGCTAATTGACCGTCTTCGCAAAGGCAAAAGCAGAAGGTGGTACAGTCAATACTACCATTCAGTTCAAGTTGCTTGTTGATCTTCAGTTCCGGTTTCAATCTGCGAAGTCTGCGATCCAAAAGTATTAGTAGTGTCCGGTACATAAGCATTGCCTTCTCTTCTTAAATGCACGTAAATATAACGATTTCAGAGGGTCTCAAAATTTATCAAAAGATGCATACAACTAGTATTATCACCTATGTTTTGCTAGGATGTGTTCTCCATTTAATGTCTTTTCATACAGAATGCAGTTAAACTTCTACTCCCTCCGTAAAGAAATATAGAGGGAGTAGTTTCCAAGTATTTAAGATACAAGGGTTAGTGTGTTTTTTCTAATGGTGGCATGGCTTAAGTAGGAGTCAAATTTAGAGCAAATCCAAACGGTTGAATAAGCTTGAAAGCAAAATCATGCTGCCGATGAATTGGCATAAATTGTCTATCAAGACCAATGTAGATACTTCTCAATACTTACAAGGGATCATTTTCACTACAAAAATAGCAAAGTATTTAATCAAATTTGGCACTCCAAGCATTTCATGAAGAAACATACAAAATTCTTGTAGCATGAAATAATTTGCCACCTGACCATCTCGGGGTTGTTGTTTATCATGTAAAGAATCTAAGTTGGCATGTAGAGAATCTAAGTTGTCATTTTGCTGACAGAAATGAGCACCAAAATCCAGTATCTTACCAGAGTTGTCCGTCTAATAGTTGCCAGTTCCATCCTTGGATTCTTCCTTGAACTGGAAAAATATTCTTCACTCAAAGATTTATATGCACCTGCCCAATAAATTGCCCAATAAATTAATATAATGTCCTTAAGGATTCCTGAATTAAGTATTATCATGACATAATATCCATGTGAAGTTCAATTGGTGTCCTCCAACGTCAGAAAATGAAAAATTGCAGAGATCAGTTGTGCAATTGTAGGTTTACGCACATCTTAAAACAAATTAAATTTATCACTGATGAAGTTGCAGAGTATTCAGTAGGACCTATGACAGTACCAGATATGGTATGTGAGAGTAGAGCCCCTTCACAGAGTTCCGCGGTTCCAAATGGTAGCAGGCAGTAAGGTACTGAATGGTCAAATAATTTACCTGCATTTGTCACTGATGACATCCCAGAGTCTTCAGCAGGATTTGTCAAGGTACCAAGCATGGTTGGCGAGAATAGAGCATCTGCAACAAGTTCAGAACTTAGCAAGTGCAGCATGTAGGCACACACCAAGGAGTGGAAAGAACAGGATCATGCCTCTTTTTTTTTTGAGAATCACTGGGGGGGAGCTCCCCACCTGAATATATTGCTCAAAACGGTTGCCGCAACAGCAGAAACAGGTTACAAAGGCACGATGCATCGTGCAGAAAGGTAGGCCTGCCACGAGAAGACGTCCTCCTTGTCCACCGTATCCATAAGACGGTGTGACCATAGATCCAAGTTAGCTATTAGGTTCCTAAGAGTTATTACAGAACATTGGTCGATGTTTCTGAAGAGCATATCATTTCTTGCAGCCCATATGGACGAGCGATCGCAAGGAGAATGAAGGGCCATGCGTTGCTAGGTAAGTGGTGGGGCAGTGGCAGATCCCATAGCTCATTGAGATCTTCATCTTGGGGTAGAACGCCAATTCTTTGCCAGATTCTGTTAGCGAGGGGGCAGGAGACGAAGAGGTGAATGGAGTCTTCCGGCAGCAAGTTACATCGAGTGCACAAGTCGGAGTCGATTATGTTCTTGTGGTAAAGGTTGACGGCGGTGTTGAGACGATCCTTGAAAAGTAGCCAAGCGAAGATCTTGATCTTGCGTGGGGCCTTGGTGGTCCAAATGAGAGGGGCAATGAGGTCCGGTTCTGGCCTTGCCATGATGGTGCCGTAAGCTCTTCTGTTGGAGAATGCATGTCCCCTATGGAGGAACCGCTGGTCCTCGTTTGCCGAAGGCGTGAAGTCCTGCAAAACAGCCAAAAGCGAGACCAACTCTGTTTCTGCTACAAGTGAAAGACGATTACGGAGGTTTGTTTCGATACCGAAACGCAATATGTTAGCCACCTTAACCAGCTGCAGTGTTGAGTGTGAGAAGAGGTTTGGGTAAGTGGTAGCTAGGGGTTTTGGGGTGAGCCATGTGTCTAACCAGAAGTAAGTGTGCGTGCCACTATTTGTTAAGATGAAGGAGATTGACTGTAGGGTTGGGATTTGTTGAGCTATCGTGCGGCATAGGAATGAAGCATGGGGGCCTGAGGAGACTAGGGCGTTGGGGTGTTGAAGTTCAAGCCAATCAAGCCATGGAGAGGGCGTGGATGAGAGAGCCTTGACAACAAACTTCATTAGGAGGCAGTCATTTTGAACCTGTAAGTTTTTCAGCCCTAAACCACCGAATTTTTTTGGCGAGCAAACATTTTTCCATGCAATCAAGCACTTGGCACCTGAGCATTCATCCTCACCAGCCCAGGAAAATGATCGTCTCAGAGAATCAATGACTTTTAGGGTTTTCCTAGGGATGCAGAAGACAGACATATAGTAAGTGAGCAGGGAGTCAAGAACGGCCGAGATGAGGATGAAACGGTCACCTCTGTCGAGGAGCTTGGCACGCCAGCCTGCTAGAAGCTTACGGGTTCGGTGGACTAACGGTGCGAAGGCAGAGGAAGGTGGCTGGTAGGAGCGAGGGGGAGCCCAAGATAGATTTGAGGGAGGGGTGCATGCGTGCATTCCATAGCAAGGGCAGTGTTGGCAGTTAGGGTTTCGTTTGCATGCAAGGTTGCTAGTGTTGTTTTAGAGAAGTTTATGGTGAGGCCAGTAGCTTGAGCAAAGTTTTGAAGGATTTTCCTGAGAGAGGCAGCAGCGGTGGGAGAGGCGGCTGCGATGATCAAGGTATCATCTGCATATTGGAGTATAGTAGGGGGCAGGTGGGTAAAGATGGGGTGATGTAGGTCGGGATCGGTACTCTGAAGGATAAGTTGCTGTAGCAGATCGACTACAATTAGGAAGAGGTAGGGGGAGGCCGGGTCTCCCTGACGCAGACCGTTCTTGCATGGGATCCAACGTCCTGGGATGCCGTTGAGGAGGATGGCGGTCTTGCCAGTATGGAGGAGGTTTTGAATCCATCCACGGAAGGTTTGGGAGAAGCCTCGGACCACCATGATTTTGTCCAGGGCATTCCAAGCAACCGAATCAAAAGCCTTTCTGAAGTCAAGCTTGAAGATCATGGTTGGGCGTTGTCGAGAGTGACAAGAGCTGATAAGATCTGCTGCAAAGACGTAGTTTTCTGCAATGTTCCTACCTGTGATGAAGCCAGTTTGGTTACCATGGACGAGATATGGAATGAAAGGTTTGAGGCGCGACGTTAGGACCTTCGCCACAGCTTTGACCGGGCAGTTTTGCAAGGGAATTGGTCTGAAGGCGTCAGGTGAGATGGAGGAGGTAGATTTCGGGAGCAGAGCTATATGGGCACGGTTTAGGCGCTCTGTGTCCGCCATACCTTGGTGGAATTGTGCGGAGAAGGAGAAAATCACCGGTTTGATAGAGGGCCAGAAAGATTTATAGAAAGATGGGCCGAAACCATCAGGTCCGGGGCTTGCTTGAGGGTTCATTTGAAAGAAGGCCAATTTTATTTCATCTTCTGAGAATTGTGCGTCGAGGGCATGAAGACCAGGTATGGGAGAAGGGTAGATCGTCGTGAGGTCAAACGGCCATGCCGTTGAAGCAGAAGAGCCGATGAGCGTGACAAAGAAATCCCGCAGGATTTCCGCTTTTTGGTGGTGGGAAGTGAACACCGAGCCGTCCCGAGCGAGGGAGAAGATTTTGTTTTTTCTAAACCGTTGTGAGGCGGACATGTGGAAGAACTTGGAGTTTCCCCTGCCATGAATCTCGGATCATGCCTCATAAAGACTGTAGTTACAAATTATCATGCAAATAAAACATGAATGTAGAACTCCAAAGAGAAATTTTCGGCAACACAGAGCAGGAGCACAATGTAGCAAGACATGATATCCTAGGCAAATAGGCCACCTATCCATACATTTGGGTAAGTAGAACTACGGGTTTTTAGTTAAAACCAACTTCCAGTACTATAATGCAACTTCAATTTTGGTCATAATCTTCTATTGATATATTTATCAATAGGTATAAATAATAGAGTTATAGAACAGGCATGAGAATTCACTGACAGCCCTCGTATTCTTGAGGCCAACCTCCACAACTGCACGCTAATTGATACTCTTAGGGAGAATATGTGCACAAGAAAATTCCAGGAAGCAGAACACCTGTAAACTTGAATTTAGAAATGGCTGTTTTGAGTCGATCAAATATTACTAGCAGTGTTACTAGACATTTTAGTAAGCAACTAGTTTTAAGGCACCTATCACGGGCAGTGCATCACTGAGTCTCAACAAGCCATATAAGGACAGCTGCCACCAAGCAGTTACCAATAAAGGTTCATCTGATTATTAATAAGTTAACATTACTGACAAGGTCTTGGAATGAACTGACGTTGGCATGCCTTATCTGCAATTTTGACTGTTCCATTTCATTTCGGCACGTCGGCAAGTGCATACTGAATTATAACAGCGACTCTAGCTACCGGGCACTTTTGAGGGAGCTAAACCAAGTCATCATGTTTGATACAGGTATAACGGCTCTATTGGCTCAAAAGATTATTTGTGCCTGCCCAAGAATAGTAAGCCGGACACTAGTTTCAGTTCATCAGGGCATAACATTCCTTTACAAAAATTTATGTAAACTGTTATCTAACACCATAGATTCAAGGACCAAGGGTGAAGGACTATTTTTCCGCTTGTCAATTAAAGAACAGGAGTCTGCATTTGAATTCTTTCCATTGATGTCTGAATATATCAAGAAATTAGGAGGACCAATGTGCAGTATAAAAAGGAACATGTGGACATGACCAAGAAGGTGCACGCATGTTTCCAGTACACATAGTACTTTTTTCCCAAGCAATACAATACACAAGCTTATGCATGTCCCTGCTGCAGGCTATTCTGAAATTACCATGGACTCAAGGAAAAGAGAAGAGTCAAACCAATGCAAGACTCATGAAAGCACATTAAACGAAAATTACCAGCATGACCAATTATAATCTGTATTAATGAAATCAAAGAATGGGAAATCAAAATCCGTTAATCGTGATATAAATAACTTGTCAGCCAATATTTGGTGTTTTTTAACGACCAATCTAGACAAATTTTGCAGATGGGGTTAGCCTGGTATGGAGATTTCAGAATACGCAACTAAGTTACCTGGCTTTTTGACTGATGCAATCGCTGAATTTTCAGCAAGACTAGTCAAGCTACCAGGCACTGTACGGGAGACTGTGCCATCAGGATCACCTGCAAAGAAGTTTGGTGGTTATTAATGGCAGCGGGAAGAAGTGCAAAGAACAACATCAATCCTGACAAGACTGAATTATCAGTATACATCAGATACAAAATGCCCAGGGCGGCTCAGGCGTCCCTAGCCTAACCCTAGCTCCGCCACTCGCGTCGCCTTGCCCAGGGCGGCTCGGGCGTCCCTAGCCTAACCCTAGCGCCGCCACTCCTCTTACTCCCCCCTGCCGTCGCGCCGCCGCCGGAGGACGCCGCCGGGTGAAACCCGTGCGGTCGACGGTGGCGGCGGGGCTCCCTCTCGCGGCGGCGCCTGGATCTGGTGGGCACAGATGCGGGTTGCACGTCGGCGTGCGCTAGGACGCGGGTCCTGGCGGTCGAGGCGGAGATCCACTGCTGGATGGACGCGCGGCTGTCCCTGGTGATGGATCTTCCTCGCGATGGTGGATGCGTGCAGGTGCGGATGGGTGTGCGCTCTCCCGCTCCCGCGGCGCCTCCGCGCCCTCGGGAGATCCCGGTGTGCGGCGGCGCTGCTGATGGCCGGGGTCGGCACGTCGCGGTGGCGTGCGCGGGCTGGCGCTGGCCGGAGGTGGGGAGCGGCGGTTGGAGGCAGGAGGCCCTGTGGTGCGGCGTGCTCCGCCGCCGCCGCGCGGGTTCTCGGCTCCATGTAGAAGATCTGCCCCTGCTTCGATCTGTCTCGATCCGTGCTGGCACCAGTCCTTGGCGGCGGCTTCGGCGTCCCCTATGGCCGGCCTGGCGGATCTGGCGTGCGGGTGAGGTTCCGGGGGAAACCCCTGGCTGGCGCAGCAGCCTCCCCAAAGTCGACGCCTTGGCGCCGATCCCCTTCCTGAAGGCTTTGGGGTGGATCCTCTCCCTTCCGCCTCCTCCTCGAGCTATGGCGAAAGCTTTTGTTCCCCTGGTCTGGGCGTCGACGGCACCCTGGTGTCGTGCTCCTTCTTGAAGGCGGCGGCTGGGAACAACTCTTGGTGGCGGGGCTGCTGGTGGCGTGGTGGCTTCGGCCTTCTACTTGGTGCTGCGCCTTGCTTCGCGGGACCAGCGGACGGTTTCTTTGGTGGAGCGGTGCTTCATCCATCCATTGATGGCGATGGATCTTGACGGCGTGGCGCAGTGCAGATTCGGAGTTTGATGTGGGAGGATGGACTCGCGCAGGAGGACGACGCTGTCTGGCGTCGTGGTGACGTCGATGGCAGAGGGATCTGGCATGGTACATGCAATAGTACAGCTCTAAAGATGGACTCGTGGCAGGTGGCTGCGGCGGCCTCACACCCGGCAGGCGTCCTGGTTGAGAAGTGCGCCGGACTGGTAGGTGCCCCATACCAGGCAGGCGGCCTGGTTGGGACCTCAGGTCTTTGATGTTTAGGTTTGGCTGCGATGTCTGTTTGGTATTAGGCCCAGACTATCAACGCCCCTTCATCATTTGGATAGGAGTAGCGACAGTTGTTGCTTAGACGGTGGCTTTAGTCTTGCTGTTGTATTACTTTGTAAGGTCTTGTGAGAATAATTAATAAAATGGCCGTATGCATCGCCCAGATGCAGAGGCCGGGGGTCATCCTCCTTTTCTAAAAAAAAATCAGATACAAAATGCGAAATGGCAAACAAAAGAATGACGAAATGGAAAACCAAGGAAACATATGTCCACCATAGATCTTCTATAGATAATAGATAACTTTTGCAAATAGCTCAAACGATGTGCACATGAATCGAATAATAAAAGTGGAAGAGATAATAAAGGTTATCACTGCTTATGCACAGGTCACAGCACTGCGACATGCTAAGCAAAGTAGAGCACTTCAAAAGCAAGTTGGTGCAGTAAGAACAATGTGCATAGGATCCAACCATAATGATGCTGATGAATTTAAACAATGGCTGTGTATCACTTCAAAAGCAAGTTGGTGCAGTAAGAACAATTTGCACAAGAGTGCCCTAAGTATTAATCTAGTGCAGCACTTCAAAAGTAAAATCAACAAAGTCGGTGTGATAAGAGCAATAAATTGACTGTAGAAAAAACATACGTGGTACCAAATTAAGGCCAGTAATATTAGGTAATTCTATTTTGAAGATAATTACCTTATAGTGTTGTGAAAATGAAATGTGATAAGTGAGGCAAATGGAGTGTCCCAAAAGGGACGCCACTATTTATATGGGAAAAAAGGGAGATAATGACAATTGACTAAACAAGGGGTCATTAAAGAACGGAAAAACTAACGCCTACACGTGTGGGTGTTTGCAGATCGCCCACACGCCTCCATCACCACTCATTTTGCCACGTATGAATAGATGACATCAGCAGAAATCTTTTTGGTTTCGGCTTAAAAATGTTTTATCTCCTAAATAAAAAAGCGAATTAAAAAATCGTTTTCACCATTCAATCCGTCACGACGAGATCTTCAAAACTAGACCCCATGTTGATATGTTTCGATGAATTTTTTTCCCAGAAGTTGCCATGATGTTTACACTATAGTTGCCATAGTGCTTAAACTAAAGTTGCCATGTGGCAATTTTAATTTGTAGATCATGGCAATTTTAGTTTTTTGATGATGGCAATTCCAGTACTTTGACCATGAAAATATATTTTTTATTAAACCATGACAATTTTAGTTTATGGTGCATGGCAAGTCTAGTTTCTTAATTCCTCATTTATAATATGTCAAAAATTACTTTTAAATGTAAAAGAAAATAACTGAAACATATCATGGCAACTTCAGTGTAAACACCATGGCAATTCATGTGCAATAGACATGGCAACTTTTAACCCAAAAAAAAATTCGTCAAAATATATTGATATGAGATCTAGTTTCGAAGATCTCGTCGCGAGGGATTTAATGGTGAAAACGGATCTTCAATCAGATTTTTCGTTTAAGAGATAAAACATTTTAAAAACTGAAAATTTAAAAAGATTCTCGCATGCATGCATGCGATGACGTGACAATCTATTTGCATTAGGAACGTGTGGTGCGTCTCTCTTCCTGCCACACGTGTGGCAGTTATCGACGTCCTTAAAGAAATACATGTCTGGTGGGTGAAAGAGTTATCATCCTTACAAAAAAGTTGAGGTAGATCATCTTGACTCGCGTCTGGCCAAGCTTTCAAACATTCCTTTGACTATCACATAAGTTCCATCAGTTGCTAACGCATAACCAAGCTAGAGATCAACGGTAAGTTGAGCACAATTGTTCATGCATAAATGAACAGGTATACAAGCAAATGAAAACATGCATAGCAGAGTCTAGTTTAACCTGTAAAATATACCATCCATTCTTTTGCCTTGCGGAATAATGCTGGCATTGGAAAAAAGATAAGATTATTGACAACAAATGAACAAATGCACATTTACAGTATTACATGGACAATAAAGTAAACATCATAAGGGCATATAAAGAAATTACAGGGCACACAGATTAAATGTCAAGCGCATATAGCCACTTGACTTGTACATTTTGTGGCCTTTAACAGGGAACAATTTCACGGATTAATTGCATGGACCAATGGTACTGGTTTGGATGTTCAGTAAACTTACTACGATTAGTAACCACTTTGAAGGTAGCAAGATTAGTCCGTGAGACTGGAGTAACCGGACCACCTGCCATGAGTTCAGCAGTTAGAAACGGTAGCATCTAGGCAGCCAAACCAGTTATGCTGCCGGAGAATGTAGCATCAGGATGTATTACAGGTCCATAGCAGGCCATGAAATCAATGTGGTAAGAGCAAATAACCTATTGCAAGTTTGCAGCAGAGAGCACTCGGGGCACTGTAGTAACAAAGTTAATGAGAGATGCAAGCAAGCATTGTCGTTGCATGAGTTATCACATTCTAATTGTGTGGATATGTAAGCTACAGAGGGATGGTTGTGCAGATGTGACCAGCAATGCAGCAAGGATTCAAAAAGTTATTACTGCCAGAAAATACTCCAAATAGAAAGTGAATACAATGACAATAAACTGAAGTGTTTTGGTGGACAAAACTGAAGGCTTTCTTCAAGTGAGACTATAACTTAGCTAAATGTTTGGTGGACGGAGAAGGTGTGAAGTAACCTTTGTTAGAGGCAGATTGAGTCAGTTCCGCTTCACTCATCTTGCCGGTTTCCAAACTTATCTCTGAATTAGATCACATAAGTTCATCAGTTGTTGTGTTCTGGAGTTACAGACTCATAAATGAGTAGTTTTACGTACCAACAAGATCCACAAGCCATTCCTTGGCCTTAATTAATGACTGCCATTCAGGAAGAGAAAAACAACAAACTAAGGTGGTGTTTGTTTCTCTATTCCTAGGACTTTTTCTAGTCCATGGGACTTTTTAAAAAAGACTCTCAAGGAGGTGCTTCTAAGGACTTTTAGCAAAAAGTCCCAAAAAAGTCCCACCCTGTTTGGTTTGTTAGGGACTTTTTCTAGTCCCTACACCAAAAAGTCTCTGGAAACAAACACCCCCCAATTACCAAGGAGTTCACATGTACACAACTTTCGGGACATAATTACTAAACAACCATATAACATAATTTGTATGACGGTATCGTACGAGAGACGTGATTCAGGACCATGGTTCAGCCGAATCTATGGTCTATGCCGTATGATTTAACATCCTACTACATGTGGATCTGTGACATGCATGCCAACTGCATTTTTTTAATCATCCATGCATGAATTCTCATGAATAGTGTCTAGAAATCAATGGTGTCGAGCGTAGGTTCGGCTGAACCATGGTTCCATAAAACTTTTTGGGTATCGTACCACGAGTTAACTCCTGGGAGTGATGGTCTGAAGTCAAAGAAGGCAGCCTGCACAAAGAAAGGAACATGCAGCAACGTATCCCATTAGTCTGTCAGAGTACCATCAAGAGCCAGCAACAAAAGAGAATTGAAGAGCATGTCAGTTTCGTGACAAGATAGCCTGTGCTGTGTGTACATACATCTTCTTCTTCTTCTCAAGATAAAGCCTGCCAAGCACAGACGCCGGGATCCGGCCGCCTCGTTTCTTCACGTGGCGCCTCGGACGGAAACTAGCGAAGATTAATTGCAGCATATATATGAGAGGTGATCAAACAGAGCCACATGATTGCATCAAATCGGTAATGGATTACCAAGCGTAGCCGAAGCCAATGGGAAGCACGTTCTGGGGTTCCATTGAGCCGCGGGCGGGTCGCATATGGTCTTTCAACTCTGGAGTCTTACAAACCAAGTCGACGATAGTCAGTTTAGCCTCGTGCCTCACGCGCTCTATGTCCAGGACAGCCCTAGGCAACGCAACGCAACGAGATCAAGATCCCATTTGAATTTTGACGGACCAATGCTCATTTTATCTGTCGAATCGATTGCAGGCTTGCAGCGATAGCAGTGTTGGGTTTTACCTGTATCTCTTGGAGCAGAGGAGGGAGGAGAAGATGGCGCGGAGCCTGGTGAGGGCGTGGCTCTTGGTGGGGTGGCGGATGATGCACTGGTCGAGGGCGGTGGTGACGGAGCGGGCCTCCGGGGCTCCGGCGAGCACGTCGTCGATGGCCTTGTGCACGCGGAGGTAGTGGAAGAGGGCGCGGCCGTGGACGCCGAGCGGGCGGTCGGAGGGCAGGAAGCGGGAGAGGTAGTCGATGGCCTTGTCCCAGGAGCCCGCGTCCACCAGCTCGGCCATGTGCTTCAGGCACAGGAACACGTCCGTCTGGGTCACCAACCTGCGCGCGTGCGTTTGCCCGAATCAAGAGATGCATTCGCAGAGGCAGGTTTGAAGTGGGGGGAGGGGGAGACACGACTGCGTGCTTACACATCCACGGTGCGGTTGAAGTTGTGGTGCCCGAGGAAGGAGATGAGCCGCCGCTGCCGGAAGCGCGACACGCAGGGGAACTCCGGCGAGCGCTTGCGCTTGCCGGCGACGGAGAAGCGGAACTCGCTGCGGGTGGGGGGCCGCATCGCTCTCGCGCCGTTGCTGGCTGGCTGATGCGCCAAGGGGATGAGACTGGACTGCGCCGGGGGGTCGGTGATTATATCCGTGGGACCCAGAACTATCGCACGCGCCTGCGTCGCGTCGCGCTGTGGCGCGCTGCGTCGCATCGGGTTGCGCCGCGCTGCGTCGGGTCGGGGTGCGGCGCGGTGCGGTGGAGTCATCCGATGAATGCTAAAAAAAAAGGTTGGACCGTTGTCTTTTTTCAGCCCGGTTTAACGTGACGAATTTAGGAAGCACTTAAAACTGAGCAAACCAGCGCATTGCTCGGGCTATAATGCACGCATACAGATGAATCAAATAGATGAAACATTTGTCATCAAAATGAATACAAAAGGTATATCTAAAACTAAAATACGTCTAGATACATCTTTTTTTATTCATTTGATAACAAATATTTTCGAATGGAGGAATATCATTTTCAATCTCGAAGTTTATTTCTCCTTCATATGTTGGGAGGCTTCGAACATCAAACGGGTACCAACAGGATCCCTAAAATTCGACCGTGTATACAGTCCGCCTCACCCAAATTCATCCCACATATGAATGAAAAAGGGAATATATTAATAACGTGAAGATATCAATTATACACCTAGCCTCTGCACCAACAAGAAGTCACAAAGACATCTAGAATGCACACAGCCTGAAAAGAAAAAAAAGAAATGAAAAAAACGTTGCCACAGTGATCAACTCCTCTCAGCATCAGCACACGAACCACCACCAAAGACAACACCCAGAAAACATAAAAGGTCTCCAAAAGCGACGCCTTCAAGAAGGAAACAGTGCACAAGCTCCGTTGTCGCCCGATCCAAAATTATAGGTTTTCACCCCGAAGAAAGACCGGGATATCAAAACAATACCTTCAACAAGGCAATTGCCAGGCACAACCAATGAAGACCAGACCTTAGGTTTTCACCCTGAAAGTCACGACCCGACACCCGAGAAGCACCATCAAAAATGAAATCCTCCAGTGTTGTCGCCCCACTAGACACTACCACTACTGAAAGTTATCAAACACATGGCTGACTCCATCGCCTTCAAGGCCCCCTCCACCCTACTGATCCTTCTATCTAAGCCATCAAGATTTTCTCCGCCGTTGTCTGTGCCATGGAAGCCGAGATGCCGACATGTCCCATGGTGTAAACAAATAGCAGAGCTTCGCACCACGCCCTCCTGGAGCCACATAGGCTTATATGGACGCAAGCGACCGGATACTATCTGATCGAGATATTCTTGGGCAAGATCTCCGGCAATAGTTCCGGAACACGTCAACGGCCAGATAGAGGAGAACCGATCAAGCAGAACATTGTCATGATGCGATAAGAGCACAAGGCCGCCACCACACCGCTGCCTCCACCAAGCCAACGCCATCGACATCACGGCAGAGGACATCGGCCCGCGCTGTCCACAACCCGTGGCTCCTGGCGCCATATCTGACGGAAACGGCAGCGGTGCGGCCCCGCCATCACGCCGCACCGGCCCGCTATCATGTCGCGCCAGCCCGCCCCGCACTCGACCGGCAGGGGTATGACGCGCAGTTGAGGAGGCAAGCCACCATCCTGACCTGCCGGAACTGAGCAACCGCCCAAAACATCGCCGCCGCCGCCGTCGCCAAGGAAGACTCTGCTGTGCCCAAAGACACCCCCACGACGCGAGTAAGGTCCCCGACGCCGCCTTCGGCCGCAGCGGATTCGCGCTGCAGCTTCCTGCGGCAATAGCGGAGAGGAGTAGTGATGTTTTTGGTGGCGGCGGCACTAGGATTCACGATCCGTCCGTGACGCCCGCACGGGAGCGACGCCGGGGGCATGGGCCTCCAAATTATGGTTGTCTGGACTATCTGCCATGTTATCTCCAACACGTGGTCCCAACACAAAACCCCACCCCCACGACACACCCTACCATTTTTTGCCAAACCTTCCCTGCCCGCTTGACCTCCCACCACAGTGGGACATTTATTGTTGGAGTCGTGTCCTCTAAAATCAGATGATGCCCACCTCATCTTTGCCATTGAGCCTCTCCCCTTCACATTGTACTTTCCCATAGACCGCCAAGGAGGAGTGCCCCGCCAACCACCCGCTCGCCGTCCAGATCCGTCCTCTCTGGGTGTTCATGCCAATCCGCCACCGCCATCAAAGGGGAAGGAGATGTGTGCCGCCCGTGATGCCCCCCCCACCTCCGGAGCCAAGAAGATAGATCTGGTGTCTCTGAGTGATTCACAATGAAAGAAACATATAAGGATCAAATCCTGATGCGAATCAAAATAACCAACATGATATTATCTATTGGTTATGAAGCATTGAATTTTTAACGACTGAACAGAGAAGTAGGGAACTTTTCTGCAACAAGCGTGGGCTGTGTCAGGGGGACCCAGCCTCGCCGTTGCTGTTTAACTTTGTGGCGGACGCCTTGGGCGCCATGCTAGACAGAGCTCGTCTGGCTGGTCACATCAGGGGAGTGGTGGACAACCTGATCCCGGGGGGTGTGTCACACCTGCAATACACGGATGACACACTCCTCCTTTTCGAGACCGACACACACAGTATCGCAATGGTTAAGGCCATTCTGTTGTGTTTTGAACTCATGTCGGGGCTTAAAATCAACTTCCACAAGTGTGAAGTGGTGTCCATAGGGATGGACGCGGCCGAAAGTCAGAGGGTAGCCAACTTGCTTAACTGCAAGCTTGGCCAGTTTCCGTTCACTTACCTCGGCCTCCCGATCGCGGTGAAGAAATGTTCGATTGCCGATTGGGAACCTCTCACCTCCAAGGTAGCGGACATGGTGTGTCCGTGGAGAGGTAGATTTATGTCTTCAGGGGCTAGACTAATCTTAACCAACTCCAGCCTCTCATCCTTACCTATGTTCGCCATGGGTTTGTTCTTGCTGGTGGATGGGGTACACACTAAGTTGGATACCCCGCGGTCCCGTTTCTTTTGGGAAGGAGCGGGACCTAAACGGAAATACCATATGGTCAAATGGCAGGCCGTTTGTAGACCTAAAGCCCAGGGGGGCCTTGGGATCATCAACTCCAAGCTGATGAACATTGCACTCATGTGCAAATGGATCTGGAAGATGTCTCAGGGTGAGACTGGCCTCTGGATCAACCTCCTCCGTGCAAAATACTTCCCAAATGGGAATTTCTTCGAGGTGGCCTCTCGTGGGTCCCCCTTCTGGAACTCCATTCAAGCCCTCAAACCCTTCTTCGCCAGGGGTGCGAAGTTTGAGGTTAACAACGGGCGCTCCACGCGGTTTTGGCTCGACCTTTGGATTGGCCAACAACCCCTATGGTCGGAGTTTCGCCAACTCTACTCCATAGCAGCCGAGCCCAACCAATTGGTTGCTTCGGCTCTTAGCTCCTCCCCACCCTACATCAACTTCAGAAGAGAATTATCGGGGACGGAAATGGCGGAGTGGGACCGCCTTCGGGATTTGATCGTGGATGTACGCCTGCCGGACTCCGCGGACACGGTCTCTTGGAGACTTTCGGGCTCTGGCAAATTCTCTGTCAAATCCTTATATAGAGAATTTACCCGCGGCCAGGTCCCTTCGGCTGCCATGGGGCTTTGGAAGGCTAAAATCCCTCTCAAGATCAAGGTCTTCCTCTCGCAACTCTGCCAAGATCGTTCCTACCTCTACCAACCTTGCTAAGCGCAACGGCCCCGCCTCCGGCCCTTGTGCTTTGTGTGGGGTTCCAGAAGATGCTGACCACGCTTTCTTCCGGTGCTCTTTGGCGCGCTTTGCTTGGAGCGCGGTCCGTGAGGCCGCGGGGGTGGATTGGGATCCCCGCTTCCGAGCCGCGCTAGTGTCTTCTTTGTCATTGGTTGATGGCCCGGCTCGTCGGGTCATGTGGATGTGTGCGGCGGCCATGTTATGGGCTATCTGGCATATTCGTAACAAGTTTACTATTGAGAGCGTGTTTCCCTCGCATCCCGCTGACGCTATCTTCAAATGCATCGTGTTCTTGCAGCAATGGGCACCGCTGGGAAGACAACAGGACTCTGATCTTCATCGCCAAGCTCTTTGCCATCTTCGCTTAGTCTACGCCGAGTCCCGCGCTCCGTCGTCCGCGCCGTCTGCTGTCGCATAGGGATGGGCAGCCCCTTTTGGTTGTAGTTTCAACCGAGCCTGCATGCTCGTTTCGATAGGCCGGCCGCGCCTTGTAACGTACTTTATTCCTTCTCCGGTTGCTGTTTCCAAAACCTGCTCGTCTTTTGCCTGGTGCCGTGTGTTGGTTAATGTGGTTGTGATACACTGCCTATGTTGTGGGCTTTATTAATTTAAAGCCGGACGTCCCTGACGTCTATTTTCTATAAAAAAATTAACAACTTTGCCAGAAGACCAACGATTCATCTTACATCTAAAGAAAAATGTGGGTAATAGTACCCCCATTTACAAACATATTTCTCTATCCCCTTTTTCGATAGAACATTCAGTACCTGAAGATCACATTTCGATGTCACTGGAAATGTAAAAAACAAACATCCATAGTGACAGTTGATTTCCGATGTATGTATGACAAGGAAACAATAGAAAACACAAACGTAGATTGCTAAAAAGTGAAGCAACATATGTGATTCATGCATATACAAAGCAACTATTTCATGCATGTGATCTTTCGTGCAATATCACTATCAAGCATGACCGAATGGGTAAAGTTAAAAATGAATCTTCTGATGAAAACTAAGCCCCCTCTACTATGTTGCTTCTAGTATCAGCTCCAATGACTAAGCCAAATTACCCAAATAGGTTAGGCACTCAATTTGTTATGCCCAGGATTCCGTCAAGTGATATGAATATTTACAGAACTCCTAGTCTATGTACCCACGTTGGCTAAAGTGGTTGGGTTCATGAGTATATGTGCTATTGTAAAATCGATCAAGAAGCTAATAATATAAAAGTCTAACAACTAACTAAACTGAGAAAACTGAAAGAAAACACATTTGACTCGAACTGAGAGGTAACATATTTTCAT